AATAAACATTTGACACGTGGACCAAGCTGGAGCTATGGGAGCCTTCGGCACCTAGCTTCGGCATCTTACCTACCGATCGCTCTATTAAGGCAACCTTGGCATCCAGATCACGTGGCAGTCACACAATCAATGTCCAGAGTCCCACATCGAAACTCTAGGTAAAATGCACACCTCCCAAGGCCTATAAAAGAGGGCAACCATCTCAGCTTGGAGGTAATCAATCAGAACTAACGGCACACTGCCTATTGATCTGTAGTTCAAACTTACCAAATCCGTACTTACTTAAGCATCGGAGAGCCTTCGGCCGGTATCACACCGGTACCTAGGACTTACCGAGCGTTTGCTATCTTACAGGTGTAACTACTACCGAAGTCATAGCATACCGAAGGTAACAAAATCACAAAGTTACGCGAGAAAAGGACAGAACCATTTTTCTGCGTCAACAGTTTGGCGCCTTATTTATTATTATTATATATTTTTATTTTTATTGAAGTCCCAATCTCGTTGAATGTATTGGTTCTGTAATTTTTCTATATAAATATTAGTTGTGTAATTTGATGCGTTTTTTAAAATTTGTTATGATTCCAACACCAAAAAAAAAAAAGAGTAATTTTTGATGATGCTAAATAATCTAATAAAATGTAAATTAATTTTGAAATTTTAAAAAAATGAAGTCCAATGTTGTCTAGTGTGGCCTTGTACCAAACAATGGATTGGACTTAAGTCTAGTCCAATCTAGTACTTTACCAAACAACTCAATAGGACTTGAAGTCTAGCTCAATCCAACCCAGTCCAGTCTAACACTCCAAGTCCAATCTCAATCAATCCAGTTCAGCCAACCAAACGGGGCCTAAATGTGATAGCAGCCAATAAGGACTTTTCTATGTACTGAGTTGGGTGTTTGACATGCGGAGGACTCCCGATTTATCCAATGGGGTTGAAATTTGGATATGTTATAATAGACACCCATTGGAACAATGTCTATCAAGGATGTCTTCTCATTTGAGCTATGTAGGTCGCTAAAATAAGGCTTTCAAGGTGACCTATGAAACTAGACTAACAAGGAAGTGTAGCCCAAATTGGGTTTTTCTTTAAAGCTTATATTCCTCTCATCCCAATCAGCTCTTAACATGCATGTATTTGAGCCCACTATGTGTATTAGGGTCATATCTTGGAGTCTTGTAGACCGTCAAAACCTGCACGTAGAAATGATACAAAGGCTTTATGACAACGTTTTTGACGTACTTCACCGTACCAAGCTCACCTTCTTACTTATAATTTATTTTGTTTTTCTTCAAATTCATTGTATCTTAATAGTTTTCTAATTTGTTTATATGTTATTTATAAAATAAAAGTTTTTGTATTTGGCTTTATGGAAAGAGGAAAATTATAATTTTTATAACACATTTTGCATATTCGTTTTAAAACACATTTTCACCGGAAGTAGGTGTGCTTTTCCAAGAAGCACCGTTAGTCAGAGATAGATTCAGGATTTTGGAATACGTTGGGGCTAAACCCTCATTCGTGTTGGAGCATAGAAAGTGGACAAGAGAATACTTGAGTTGCTGGAGAAAATGGAAAGGATATATGGGCTTTTGGGTTGCTGATTATAATCTCTGTCTGAAGTTGGCTGCTTGTGAAGGAGAAGAGATGAAGAAAATTATGGGTTTTTAAAAACTGAACTTCGAAATATTTATAGTTATGCCACTGGGCTTCCATAGATTATAACTTCTTTGTTATAACTCCGATTTGAGTCCACTATGTGTCTACAGACTCATCTCAATGTGCTCTACGCAACGATGCTCCTAAAAAACCCCAGATTCTTTCCCAAACAAAAGTTAACTTTTAAATCATTAAAATATTTTTGGGATAAAATTATCTTTTATTGAATAATTAAATATTAAATTAGGATCAGGTTATTACAATTTTTTTCTTCTTGTTTTTGCTTTCCAGGCTTTGCATGTTGCATTAGCTCACTGTGAACAGAACCTTTGGTGTATTGGGCTTGGTTTCTTTTTTTTTTTTTTTTTTTTTTTTTTTTTTTTTTCAGTGGGCTATGGACATATTTGAATATTTATATGTCTATACTATTATTATTTATTGTCGGGGCAGCTAGGCCAAGCCTAATTGGGCTTTTTCAGGCCGGGCCTAAAAGGGCTCAGTGGGGCCAGGTCGAGGGTTTCATATACTAGCCCCAAATTCTACCCAATCTTAGCACGGGCTTGGCCTAACGTCCTTAGGCTGCCCACTTCAGCCCACGGGTCACAGTCCAAATGATGATCCCTAGTTCATGAGACGATGTCGAGTGCGATAAGGACTCTGGCCATGTTATCGTCCTTGACCTCCGAAGCAGCTGTCTTTCTCATTCCATCAACTCCAGCAACACTCTCTTCCACCTTGTTCACTTGCACATGCTTGACCTTTCAACAATACTCTTGTTGATGCCTAAAATTGGTTCAACAAAAGATGACCTCTTCGAGATCGAGGTCGAGCAATTCTTCCAGACTAGGTTAGCGTGACTAACCAAGTCGTCCTCCAGAACCTGTAAAACAAGATAGCCTTAGTGGGTGACACCGGTGTGATGCCGGCCAAGGACCCTCCGATGCATAAGTCAGTCGAGTGTTTGAGAGTAAAATCGCACAATAGGTTCTAGTGCTTAGAATTGCATACCTTTTACGAAGGATGGCTTTAGCCTTTTATATCATCCCAGACGACCTAATCCTTCTCGGAGTGGGACTCTAGAGCAAACCAGCTCTCCTCGAATTAGGACTCCAGAACATCCTAATCCTCATCGGACTAGGACTCCATTTAGACTGGCGTCTTGGTGATCCCGAAACATCCCAACTTCCTTGGGATTGGGAGTCCTTTGAGTGAACACAACGTAAATCAAACTCATATGCACCGAGGCTGAGCTCAAATGGGCCCACGAGTCCACATGGGTCAGGGTGGAAAAGTATAGGGTGACCAGGCTTGAGCCTAGCCCGACCACTAACACCGTGGTCTAGCCCAGCTTGACCACTAACACCGTGGTTTGGCCCAGCTCGGCCTAGAGGTATTTTACCTCACAAACATAAGTCCCCCAAGTCCCCAGACAAGAGAGTTTTGTGTGGGGAGTTGTACTTTAATAATTTGGCCAAGCTAGCAATATTAAATTATAAAATAATTTTTTAATATTTCCTGTGTCACCAGTCGGCACCAGGAGTCCCCCAAGTTTCCACAAAAACGAGCTTGGCAAAAGGACTTGGTTACTGGTGGGGAGAATAAGAATTTAGCGCAAAAGAGAATAATAAAACCTGATGCTTGCCTCATCTCGAGTTAACTACTGTGTGGCTGCCTGTGTACAATTATCTGAGTTTGAATTGTACAGACGATATTTGATTTCAGACTTGTGTGTCTTTGAGAATAACAAAAATGATGGTTGAAAATATCTCATGGTGAGGACGCCACGTGGCAAGTTTGCATTGGTGGGGGGCTAAAAAATTTAGCTTTCCAAGACAGCCCCATTTTGAAATGAGAATAACCCCAAAAGCTGCGGTCAGACCCCCGAAAACGCACAGCAAAGAGTGAGAAGGTATTAGCCCCTAACCTAATTGTTATTTGGAGAAGAAAGGAATGGGAGAGGTCTGAAATTTGATACCAGCAACACCAACACATCCAAGGAGGTAAGATCTCATCACCACCCTATTTTTATTTTATGCTACCACCAGCCCCCATTTCTGAACTGAACATATTAGCTCCCATCATTTTATTTTGCAAAGAGAAATCCATACTTTCCTGTTTATCTTTTTATCTGGACCCACGCGTGTCTTCTTGCTGCTGTCCTGTTGCTTCTTGGTGGAGGCCATATATGAATTGATGTTTAACAATGTTTGGGACCTCATGTCAGCTGTTTGTAGGAAATATATAATATGCCATATATATATGTTTGTGTCTATATGAGATGTGTCGGTGAGTGCTTATATATATACAAAAGCACACCTATTTCCTACAAACAGAGGTCCCATATGGAAGCTGATACGCCCCCCCCCCCCCCCCCCCCCCCTCCTTTTTCCACATATATATATCTACACACACA